GGGGGGGGGGGGGGGGGGGGGGGGGGGGGGGGGGGGGGGGGGGGTTAGTGGAATGACGGAGTATATAGGGATATGTCCGGCTGGTGATCCTGCCATCGCCTCCATCATCATTACTCCAGAATATGTCTATCTGTTCAGCCATCTCCGTCCTGCGCTCTTCAGTTGCAGTCGTGCCTTCTATCTTTCGACGTTACCCCCCCCGTGTCCCCTTCCCCCCCTGCTCTGCTGTCGTTTTGGTCTTCTATCCGGTGTTTTCCTTGTTCCGTTCCTCCGTCCGTAGTCTGGTTTGCTTATCTTGCTCCTTGTGCCATTGTACCATGAACTTCTCCGCTCCCTCTGTCACCCCTTGTACCACGGCACCCCTTCCTCCACCTTCGCTGCGATAGGCCAGCAGCCACGCGCTACCCCGAGTGTCCTCAGGTCGTCATCCGTGGATTCGGCATCGGCACCGAATTCTATAAAGTCGTCCTTCAAGCACACACCCGAATCATTTGTGGGAACCCGCTGCCTGGATCCTCCCCCCCGACGATATCTCCGTGCATCAATCGCTTCAGGGGTCGCCCGTCCGGTTGTCTGGCCATGCCCCAGCAAACAATAGTGGCCGTATTCGAACAGTGGCCTCCACGCTTTGGCATCCGACCTTTTTAGGGGCTTGGGCGTACGAGATCTGGTGGGTGTGGCGGTGGCGGCGCTCCCTTCTTCGGTTTCTTCTCCTGCACCTTCATCACGAGAGTCTCTTCCTTCTTCTCCGACACTGTCCGAAAGCTCCAAACACTTGGATGATAATGGTCATAATCCTCGCAAGGCCTTCGACCGATCTCGATACGAACCCAGCGTCGTCGGCGTACAGCATACCCCACACCGCCTTCCGGATTCGTTCCAGCGGTGTCGTTGCCCTCGTCCCAGTCTCCTCCTCAAGGTTTCCAGATCCCTGAAGGTAGCGTCGTCTTCGCTGAATCGTACCAGAACTACCTCAAGCGCCGCCGCGAAGAACATGTTAAACAGCAGTGGAGGCAGTACACATCCTCGTCGCAGTCCCTGGATGACCTCGAACCATTCCGAGAGCTCTCCGTCGTACATGCGTACCCGAGCTTGCATGCCGTCGTGGAACTGGCGGATGACCGCGATCATTTCCTCCGGGATCCCCGCTCGGGCCAGCACCCGCCACAGCAGCTCCCGGTCGACTGAGTCATAAACCTTCTGGTGGTCGACGAAGCACATGTACAGCGTGCTACTCCGTCTCCGTGCCACCTCCTGCAGTCGTCATACGACGAACAGCATGTTGACGGTGGACCTACCAGGTCGGAAGCCGCGCTGCTCTTCCAGCAAGATGTCGTTTTTCTCGCAGTAGTCTCTGAGACGGCTAGCGACGATTTTCAGGAGCACCTTGCTCGCATGCGACAGAAGGGATATCCCCCTCAAGTTGTTGCGGTTGGATCGGTTCGACTTTTTGCAGAGTACCTTGATGGTGGCATCACTTCATTCCTGCGGGACCTCCCTCAAGTTCCACACGTCGACGAGGATGGCGTGGAAGCGTTCGATCGCGATGGGCTCATCTACGTCGTCAATGATGAGTAGTGCTACCGGCAGGGAATCATGACCACACGCTTTCCAGTTTTTCATCCCCCGTGCTGCTCTCCGAGTCTCCTCCAGGGTTGGTGCGGACCTTAGGTGTTGCGAGCCTTGGTACCTTCGGTCGTTGTTTTACCTCCCCGACGATGGGACGGGTTCAACGCGGGGGATTGAGCGTTGAGTAGAGAGCCGAAGAACCTCGCCCACCTTTGGAGAGTCTCATCCTTGCTCCTCAGCACGACACCATTCTTATCTCTCACGGGCTGCTGTTCCCATGTCTGCGTCCCATTTACGCCTACCGAGTTCTTGAGGTGTTCGTACAGTCCGCGCATGTCGCGATCCGCGAGGATGGATTTCATCCTCGCCACAATCTTACAAGTAGGCATAAATGCCGTCATCGACTGCTGTATTTGGGCCGGGTTTCATCTCCCGGCGTGCCTTCCTTCGCTCGGCAAGTGTTGTCTCGACTGCTCTTCTCGTTTCCGGGCTCTGGCACCACTTTGCCATACGTGGTTATGTATCCGGGTCTATGCCGGCAGCCCTGACTGCGCTGCTTCAAGGATAGCTTGGGTCGTTTCCCTCGCGGCTTCCGGGGGCGCTCACGTTGGGCTGGTCTGTTAACTGGTCCAGGCTTTGGACGAACTGTAAGCGCAAGTCTAGCCAAGTGCACTTTCACCCTCAGTTGTCCTGAGCCTACGACAAATGTACAACAACATCGACCGCCTTTGTTAACAATCGATGTATCGACTTGGGCTGTCCAGCATCGGGTTCGGGTATGTATCCCTACCTTACAGCGTGCTGGTGATGGCGGCGTGAAAAAGCGTCTCACGACATGAAGAGCAGCTCAGGATACGTTTGGTCTCAAACGCTCCACTATCGTGTCCGTAACAGTGCGGACAAACATTTGCTGCGTCATTTGCTGCACAACCTTTGTTTTTCAAGTGTTTCCGCCCACATACCTTCAGCAGGTGTCGACATAAATTCTCCCAAGGGTGTGTTTTGGAGGTTATACCAACATGCATACCCCGGGTACGGGAACATTTGTAGCCGTACTACCCAAAGAAATGGGAATTGGGTACTATTTTCAAACGTGTTCTGTCTGTAGTAAAAGTGACTTTTTCAAGCGATCACACGTTTAGCAGCAGTGAATTGCAACGTGAAATAGATTCTAGTTCTACACTACAAAAAACAAGCCGTTGTGTTTGGCGAGCCGAAAAACAAGCTATTGCCAACCCCACCATTCTGTGATCTATCCAGTACACTGAAAAAGGCAGAGAGAAGCAAGATACCCTCTAACTATCACTATTTGCCGGTACTCCGGAGCTATCCGTCTTTGTTTCTCGTCTAAAGAAACACCCGTTGGTCGCCATGGTCGGCTATGGATGCTTTGCAGACTTACCGGACGCCAACTTGTATAGACTCTCGTCCGAACAGCGGTGTTGATTCGACGTGTTTGCAAAACACGTCGTGCCCCGAACAGACAAATTGAGAACCACGAAGGAACTCGCACACGGTGACTAGTATTTTGCTAGCACACTTTACTCACCTGGTATCACAAGAAGCATCATTGCCCAAAATCCAGCTGCAGCCGGGCGTAAAAGAATATTCAAGCGCACTCTCGATGAAACCCTCCCCCCTCGGCCCTGTGCACCTAAACAACGAAATCAGCACAACGTTTCAGCATTGTCGAGATCTAATCTCGTGCGTTCATAATTTACACACGAGGGACCAATCTTTCTGAGGATGATGCCCGTGCTGAAAAGTGGAGTGACGGAAGTTGTGCCCGGGAAAGACTGGAGCGAGATCGGAGGGATGATAAACAAGGCAAACCTTACAAACTTTATCCGAACCAAGCATTCTGGATAGAGTATTGGTATTGTGACGGTCACAATGTGACAATTCCATTTTTTTCACATTCTTCTGTAAATGAATTTGTTGGCGCTATTTTATCTTCCGAGTGAAAGAGGGGCTTGTCAGACCGCTCCGTTCCTGTGCCGTACGCGCCTGTTGTACGGGGCACTTCTATCGTCGTCACATTTGCGGTCGTTTCATCCTTGTGCCATTTCTTGTCCGCATTTAAAGATGCCCGTACTGGCAGCAGGTACGACGTGGAGCAGTGAAGCCCGTGTGGTGTAGTGTCTGTGCAGTAGGTGCTTCCAAATTACCACACTTTCGATGCTAGTATTCTAAACAACAGATAGCAGTACGAGACTCGTCGCTGAGGATCAATACCTTGTTTTGGGTAAAAGCGCCAGCTCAGCATACCGTTCGGCTTTGTTCTGATACGAAAGGGTCTTTACGTTTTGTTTTCGAATCTGCCGTTATGAGGTAATTTTCTTCCTGTTTCCGCCACCTTCCTACACGTGAACGTGTTGAGTTGCTGATTCCTGTTTCGTCTCTCTCAAACAACCTATCTTCTATGCACGAAGCCCTCAATCGACAACCAACAAGAATCAATCAACGAACCAAAGCAAAAAATGCCTTGCCAGGATGCCAAGTTAGGTGCCTCCCCGTGAAAGTGATGGAACTATAACTAACCTCACAACGTACGTGATCTGCCGGTGAAAAACCCAAGAAACTCATTGACCCACACGCAATCACCCGTTTGGCCGATTGCTCCATGCTATCGCACGCCTGTTCTCAATGACTCAGTCTTTTGGTCTCCCCTTGTTTCGCAAGTTTCTTACCTCCCTACTTGACGGAACAGGGTAATGTTATTTCTATTACAGGTGTTCTTGTCTTGCCCAATTCCATGTGTGTTGTGTGTTTTCGTCCTATTTATTATGGCGACAGTCCCCCCATTTTTCGTGGTGAGACGTATACTACAGTTTTTCAGCGTATGTAGAGTACTACACTTTTCAGTATATTTTTTCGTACAACTACAACCATCCAGGGTCACACAGGAGGGGGTAAACACCAGGGCTTTTTTCTTCTTTTTATTTCTTTTCATGCCCCACCTTTCTCCTGCGGTGCGTGCTGAATTTTATTTTTATCGCGAGAAGGGTCCAGCCGTCCCTTTCCCTCGTCAACGGTGCTAACGTCGAAGTTTGGTACTTACGAGAGCTTTTTCGCGATATTTCGCTTTCACCCGCAAATTTCGTATACTTTTCACCCCATGGGAGTTCGAACTCACGACCTCTGCGACTAGCGGATTACGAGGATACCACTAGACCACCGGGGCTACCGGTTTTAGCCGTGTCCCGACAGTTCCGATTCCGATCACTTTTTTGTCTCTAGAAAGATCGCCAACACACATATATGGACGTCCTCCTCGTGATTCGTGAGTTGAGTGTGTCGACCCTTGTATTTGGCGATGTTGGAGCATTTGTGTTCCAAGAGCCAGTTCTCGAGGGAGGCAAAAGCAAAAGTCAGATTATTTATGCTGCATAAGGGTAAGACATTCTTCAACCTATTCTATCTACTGCTGTGTCAACTACACTGCTGTTGTCATAGACTACAATTGTAACTACTATATGTTGGTGTCATCGGCCGCAGATGGATGCTGCGTTTCTACGCATGTAACCTACTACTGGTTGTCCAGTAGGCTGTACAATCTACCCGGAACTGATGTTTGCATATACATGGTGCACATACGCTCGTACATCCCTTGCGCATTACGCATTAACTGTTACGCCCCGTCTGCGAGATAATGTCCATCTACAAGTACAAGCTGTAACGCTGTAAGCCTTACACGCACCACAGGAAGCGGCTACATAACATTTTCACATGTCACATGAATGTGTCCTCCCCTGTCGTCACCCACCTCTCATGTCTTGAATGGTCCAGCAAAAAACTGAAGTTGCCCTTCAATACAATCCAAAACACGTGACACCGGGTAACGCTGTGTAGCAAGGCCGAGCACACACTGGGAGAGGATACAACGGAGGATATCTTTGGTTGTTTTGGAAGCTGCGTGACCCAGCAAACGACCCCAACCCCCTTATTTTGAGGTTTTCGAGGCGAGGAGGCGTCGTACAAGACCTCCCAAACACGACACCCCCACGCACCCCAGACCCCTGCTGCTGTGTGCTCGCTGTGGTGCTGTGGATGCTGCTGCAGTGCCGTTCTCGCGAGGTGCACGGCAGCCGGCTCACCAAGTTCTCACCCACTACTCCCCCGACTGGCAATATTTGTCGGCTGTGATAGTTATGCGCCTACCTTGCGCAGCCGGCCTGGTTGTCGCGGCGTGTCCGTGCGTTCCTGGTTTCCTGCTACCGTTACCAGCGCACGATGTGGGTCATCAGGGTACACTCTTCGCAAGGCAAGGGTTTCGGCTTTCGATTTGACCTGGTGACCATGAATTCCATATTCTACCACTTTAGCATGTATTTTGAAAAACAAACTGAGGTGTGCAGAGTCGATCATGCTTGATGTTCGTGGTGTGGATCAGGTGTGCGGCGACGCGTTCAACGAGGGGACGAGAGGCGACGGCGACTCGGTTGTACGTTGGTGGCAAGATATTCGGCGAGGATGAGCCTCCACCACCCCCGCAGGTGCACCATCGAAGATAAAAAGTTAAAAATTTGGGCTTTGTGAAGAGTTTTCGCCTGATGCGATATTGTGCGGTACATGCGTTTGTTTTTCATATTCTTATCTGTTTCATGTAGAGATACACTGCTGTTGTACTCCATCAATGCATACTAATTCCTTGAAGTACTTTCAAGTATTTCATATCTTTTGCGGTGGGACATTCCAGGGCCAACCTGGACTTATCAAGCCAGCCGTGAAATCCAACCGGAAAGAAGACGAGGAGGGTGGAGAAGAAGGCGGTTCGGGTGAGGCTGGAACCGGGGAGAAGCGGAAACGGAGGAAACGACGGAAGAAGTACGACTTCTCGGACGATTTAGCGGCGAGGGAGCAGGACGAAAAGAGATTAGCGGAAGAGGTAGGCGCATGGCGTACGTTGTAGCGAAGCACATACTCGAACAAAACATGACGGAATGCAGCCTGTTACAGTTGTGTTACTACTGTACAGTGCACGGCCACTAGCTGGTTGCTTGCAGGAAGCTTATAGGACGAAGTGCAGTAGGTCGCACGTTCATCGTTCGGATGCTATGTCCACAAGATTGTCCACAAGAGAGAGAAGGGGTAAGGGCGAGGAACGCGAGAAGTTTAGTGCGCACGTGCGTAGAATGGTCAGAAGAGGCAAAGGGCCAACGCAATCATCATGGGAAACAGTAGGGTACGTTCGTTCTGCGAGCTGTGTGGTGTGGTTGTTTGTTGTTTTGATTGATGTCCAGGGTACCGCCGTCGTGAAATACATCATCTCGATGCGAGCTCTTCGGCCTCGATTCGTGCATGACAGGCATCTACAAAATGGATCTTTGCCCAGAAAATGAAGATATCAGCCCTCATTCTTCGCTCCGTTGGTTCCCCTTGTCGCAGCTTGCTCGAAAGTTTCCGGATATCGGCCGGGTGAAGGTGGATAAGTTTGGGAATATTGTTGGAGGTGTCGATCCCTTCGAAGGCACAGATGTCAAGCTAGAGGATCAGCCAATACCGGATGATGACGAAAAGGTGTGAGCTTAATTCTGTTTCTCGAGAGGTAAATTAAAATTTTCTATTCACGATGCTTTTGGATGAGATGCTTTGCGGTTTTCAAAGGGCGACCACGGTTCTGACCAATCACAAACAAGAGGAAGCGTAGTTCACTCCCATGTATTGATTGAAGAGGATTCGATTCTCCGATATGACTTAACATATGCAAGCAGATAGTACTGACTTTGTTGTGCCCTACGGAGAAGTCATTCACGCTTGACCTAGGATGACATGTCCGATTGCTGCTGTCATGAGAAACGAGCTATACTGTGGCTACAAGGCGCTTGATACAAGCAGTAGTCAAGAGCGGTAGCAGCTGTTGCCTCGCAGCGTTTATCGAAAAGGGCACCAGTATGCTCAAGTTATACAGCATTCCAGCCTAACGATTAACGTTTTTGATGTGCGTTCCGTCAGGATTTCCCAGAGGTGGCTGGTGTGATTGCAGGAATGGACGATCCCGCTGATGCGCCTTGGAGGCTGGAGGTGAAACTCTCAGCACAGTAGAAGTTTTGAGCTTTGTACAGCAATTGCGAAACGTTGGCCGTCGTAGCTAGGCCTCTACCACAGGGAGGAATCACCTGGTCGTATTTTTACGGAGATGTTGAAGCACGTCAGATACAACCCCGGTATCCGTTCTGCTACAAGAGCGAGCACGGCACTGAATAGCAAGATGTTATTATCGCGAGAGAGAGGGTTGGGCTCTCTTGCCTTTTTCATGTCGATCGCTAGACGTTGTTGCTCACACTTCAAGAGCTCTGTAGGTATTGCCTTGGTGTTCAATGCAAAAGTTCGCCGGCTGCTCTGCATGAGGGATGGTGTCGTGGTTCTTCCAGCACGCACACCTCCCGAAGATTTAGTTCACCGTGTTTTGTTTGCCGATACAACAGTGGGTTGGCATTTCTCCCAATAGTGTAAACCTGCATCAAGCTGCAACACGCAACGCAACCGGTTGGCGTCGGTAAGTAAGTGTTGCCGACATCACGATGTCAAAAAAGTTGGAGCGAGAATGAACGTGCAGGGTTGCTGCCCCTGGCTTACGTTTGTTGGTCACACTAATAGTAGGTTTCTTGACAACCACACAGCTGAAACACATGTCCAACTCTTGGTACTATTTTATCCCCGGCGTAACCATTGCTCGATGGTACATGAGCGAAGCTTCAACATACGTCAAGGCAGCCAAATAAGCACACCGAACCAGACTGACGGGTTGACGGGGACGAAAGCGAAGCATGCCCAACCAAAATCGCAGGTTCTTTCCGCTGAAGTGCGGGTCGATAGTGGCACACGGTGCTCTGTGGGTTTATGGATGGTCATTTTCCTTGGGTGCTGTGGCTATTTTGGCAACTTGTCACAGGCCGTGTAATGCCCCAAGACCAGCAGGCTGTTGCTTGAGTACAAATATCCACGCCGGGGGAAATCTATGCCACTCCGATCAGCCATGATTTGTTACCTTAGATGTCCTTGGGGCAGTCATCAGGATGCATGTTGCCCACCCACGAGTCGGCGACCACTGGGCGGCCGGGTTTGCCCTTTACCTTTGTGCGAAATAGTGCGTGTTGCGTTTGCTTTGACATCCCGTGATTACATCCGGGGCTTTGCCCTGCTCCTAGTTTCAGGTCTTGTTATGTTTGGGTGGACCAACAATGGCCTGGCTTGTGGTGCAATGTTGTTGCCAAACAACTGAAGAGTGCGGTGATGCCTGTGGCGGCCTTGTCATCCTATCGGTGGTTCAATGAGTTCTGTGACGGAGTTGTCCCCCAACTCGAATGTGCAATGCCTGTGATTATGTGCAGGCGGAGAAGATTGTCCGAGACCAGGTGCAGGCGTGTGGGCTCACCTGCTACGATATCTTGTGGACCTTTCACAGGTTGGAGGTTACCGTGACAAGAGCAGAGGGCGATGGACCCATTGAGGAAGCAGCATATGTGGATAGCGACAAACTAATGCAGGCCATCAAGTGAGCAAGCATGATAGGTGAAGGTGGTGATTCCGTTGTTCGGTAGCGAGCAAGCGATGTATTCATCACGTTGTTGCAATGAAAATTGTTGAGAGCAGAGGTGGTATCAGTACGTCCCTAAATTTGCTACTCATAACAACTGTCTTCTGGCAATGAATCATGTGAAAACACGGCTGTGACTCATACTTCAGGTTATCTGTTTTCGGAAGTACTGTATTCACAGCTCCACCCAGGCTACCACTAGAATGAAATTCCACGAGCCATGCATTTCTCGCTCATGCCAGGAGAAGACGCGGGAGTGGTGGTACACGTGCAGTCCAGTTCTGTAGTGAGCTACATCCTCTCTTAAAAGTTTCATTTCCAACTCAGTGTGCCAGTTATTTGTGCGTATCATGGTTCACGCCTGCGCCGGTCCTATCTTTTATGCACTGATTAGCTCGGCTACAGGAGTTGGTGATAACATCCAAAGAGTAATAGCAGCGTGGTTGTTGTACGATCCCTGATCTATGAATTGTTGTGCTCCGTTGATGGTGTTCTGTGTGCAGGATTAACGGAATTCCAACTTGGACAAGATTGGTGCGAATTGTCTTGATATTTGTGACGACGGTAGGTATACATGTAACAAACAACCCTTGATATTGGTGTGCAGGGGGGTGAACGCTGCGTTAGAGGCGAGGGAAGAGGAGTTGTTCGTGCTGGGGCGGCACGAGCTTGTGGTAGCAACGCCCGGAGCCAAGGACGTCCTCACAACGGACAAGCAGTTCAAGGCCTACAAGGGGTTCGAAGTCATCGTGAAAGCGTGAGTGGCTGCTCTGTGTTCACCTCGAAATTGGTTGTTTGAAGGACCTCGGCGGCCACAGAAAATGGCCCTCATTGGCAACGCAGCTTGCCAGTATTTAGTGTTGTTGCCATGATGCGGGACAGTGCGTAACGACCGTGTTCAAAGCGACATGCAAATACGCACAGCCATTGCCTTATTCTGATGTAGACACACACACAACCACCAGTCCCTGAGTGCCTGAATGCAAAAGCATGTGTGCATTAATTATGTTTTGCGTCCCGCGGCGTTCGCCTTCACTATGAACAAGTGGTCCGCGGGTGCATGGAGCAGAGGCAGACGATGTGTTCCGAACTAAAGAGTCATCGTTGCCTACGAAAACGCCACACAACACACACTGCTTTGGCACGCTAAACAACCACGCTGCCGTACAGCACACCACACGGCGACCGCTCCTCCTCCCAGTTCAAAAACCAAAGAAGATGTCGTGTCGTGCTGCGTAAACGAACGAGAAATAATAACTTCAATGGGGTTGGTCAAAAAGGTTTGCCCCGAACCTCCCATTGGCTGGCGAAGTATGTAGACACAAGCCAATCAGGCGTCGAAGGGATGTCCATCCTGTTGGACATTGGAGGGGGGTTACATCTGATGGCGGGTGGGAAAATTTTGCGCACAAATTGATCGCACCAATATGGTGTCGGGAGCACCTACGGCAGCTGCTTGTTTCGAGGCCGAGACTGCTGAACATAGACGCCTCCAACCATGAAGGCAGGCAGCAATCAAGCTGAAACTTAAATGTTATGTGTTGCAAGGCGGCCGTGGGGTGACTTCTCACGCCTCGGGGGGGAAAACTGCGTGGTTCGGAGCGCTTCCGATTGCACATGATCGTTCAGACGATCAGACAGCCAAAATTTGTTTGTACCGATGAAACCAACCAAAATTGTTCCCCACAAACACCATGGCGCCAAGACCTTTGCACCGCCGGTAGGAGAGTCCGATCGAAGCGTTACCATATTTTGACCCTATTTTGGAACTGGCTTAGCCGGTCACCTGTCGCTCTAGTCCCATGCTCACTGACGCGGCTGTGACCATGGTCGTCGCCCGAAACTGCTGCTCGGTGTTCCTTTTCAGAGTAATACATGCTTTACACACGCATCTGCACGGCTACAGACGAATACATACATACCGACGGTGCACGTTTTCACAGTCGCTACTTCGCTCGCACGTTTCGCTGGCGTACTGGAGCGTGCAAAACCTCCACAGCAGTCGGTCGTTGCATTGAACAGGTCGACAGCAGCCGGGAAAAGTAGGTATCTCTCCCAACAGTTTTACAACAAGTCACCAGCGAGAAAACAAATTAAATTTGTTGCTAATTGATCCTGGACTCTGATCGGTGGATCGACATGAATCCGATGTGATTTTCTGAGAAAGCGCAGTTTTAGCTTTTCATGTCGCTGAACCGCTAGCTTTTCGAATTTGTGCGTCGTCCATCACAGGGGAGGACCATTCAAGAAGAAGCGCGAGTTGAAAGGAAAACTACTTGAGCGTACTTTCGACGAGCTCATGATTATGAAGGCAGGGCGAAAAGTGCGGATTCCTTTGGCACTTGTGGACGAGGTCCGCCTTCCTCCGGCGCTCGTCGAAGCCGGAGACGAGGTTTTTTGAATCGCCGGCTGCAAAGAATTCTTTGTCACCCCTTGAAGAGCAACGTGCAGTATGGTATATCATGTGCAACGTATCTGGAACCGAGTTTACGCGAGTATTGCGCTGAGAGGCTGAGGTTGGTCGCACAGTTATCAACCCTCACGCAGCGTTTTGGCGCATCACTTGGGAATGGAATATGTTCCTGGTGACTGACGTACACCCTGTAGTGACATTAAATTAGAATATATCATGAGAAACCTGTGTGTTCGGCGGATCGTTTGATCGGAGCGGATATTTATTATCTTGTTTACGAGAAAATGCGATGCCGTCAAGATTTTGCAAAGCATTTTGAAATAGTCTTTTTGGTCGAGTGTGGGGTGCACTTTTTTTCCAGGCCGGTATTGAACAAACCACGCCGAGGAGCTCATGGAGATTTGACCTTTTCTTCAGTTGAGTCGTGTTGGGACTTATTACAAAAGCGCATGAGGCGACCCACTCATAGTTTCGTATTTTGAGGAGATGTTCACCGAACGAATTGGACCTGCACCTCTACCAAGTTGAATACGCGCGAGTGATGGAGGCACGCTTGCCGCGTCGCCGAGACATTTCGTTAATCCCGCAACAAGGAACGTTTGTACAACTTTGGGCTTGACACAAACATGGAGATGGGTCAGTCATGACGAAACTACAGTATTGCCTGCGTCGTGGATATGAATTTTTGAGCAATCGTCGGTGTTGGAGAAGATTTGTGTCATCTACTCTTTGCCGGTTTTTGTTCAACATGGGAGCTACACGTACCCCGTTGTTCCCGTATTACACATACGCACCTATTGCATCATTCCCTAGAGCCAGCTCGTTGTCGTAGCCTCCTCTAGCCATATCGTTTGGTGCTGGAAATTAATCCGAGGCGACAAGGCACACGCGCCGCAGTTTTCTATATACCGCACGCAGGAGATTTTCACCTTTACAGTCTAGACTAGTCTAGAGACACAAGACGAATAAAGTACATGTAGTGTGTGCTGCCGAAAACCGGGTTGACACAGCTCAGCCGACGTTCCTACTCTGTCTCTGTGGGTAAAACTAAGAAGCAAAACGAACGAGGCCGTACCTTTTTATGACGACCTACTCAAGACAAACCACAACAATATACTCCTATACCCTATACAACGAGTGGAACGTGGGAAATTGATACTATTAATTATAGTTAATTGCTCGGTCATTGTGACGAACTGCGATAATATTGGAGTTCGCCCAAAAAAGTTGACGTTCCCATCTCCGGCAGGTGCAAGCAGTGTTGACATTGTGTGGATTGGCAATATTGACGGCTGAACTGACGATGGTGTCAAATGAACAGGCAGGCCAGCAGTCCGCGTCAAGTGGACGAAATGCGTATATACGCCAGCGCTGGCGAGATTCTTGCACTCGCCAGTTCAGCAATTTTTGGGTTGTGTGTGATTGGAGGTAGACACGAAACCAAACAAAGCCACAGCAGGTTTCCAGCCCTCAGGCAGCACCACGGCGCTAGGCCTCACTAGGCCTTACCCACCCCTAACCCGAACCCGAACCCGAACCCGAACCCGAACCCGAATCCAACCTCCAAATAGGTTGTGGTGCAGTGGGTAGGCCTAGGTCGCTGTACTACTGGAGCATGTTTTTTTCAGTGCCAGTACCTGATATAGAGCCTGTCTTATCGGAATCGGAAAAATCTGTTTCCAGGAAATCACAAATCAAAATTGGGCTCTGATTGGCCAAGAGGCCCGGAAGCCGGTGAACGGCGATTTTGAATTACCGAAAAATCTGTATCGCGGCGAAAGTCCCCAAGGACTTTTTTTGTCCGTGTCCAGAAAATCTGTTTTGGAGTCTCAACGCATGGAAGGCTTCGGCAACGCTCCACCTACTTGGCTGGCAACCACACAGCGCTAGTTGCTCTCTCTCCGACTGTCGAGACACACACGATCACATACGGCGAGCACGCATAGCATGGCAGATGACATGCTGGAGACGGCCACGGCCGAAAATTGCGCAACGGGAAGGAGCCAGCGCGTCGGCCTGCTTTCCGGAGCCCAGACGGGGGCGAGGCTGCTGCCGCCCGTACAAGGCGAGGCAGCTGCTGAGAACGGCAGCAAGCGGAGCGTTGGTGTCGCGGACGTTGACCGCTTCAACGCGGGGTTAGCGCGAGCCGCTCAATATCGGTCGGAGGCTAGTTGTGATCATGATTATCATGGGGAAGATTTCGACAGCTCTCCTGTTGATGTGGACGACCAATGGCAGCAGCAGGCAGTCGTTTGTGTTGGGCTACCCGTAGCCTAATGGGCGGGCGCGCTTTGTCTCAGGCCTTCACGGCTTGTGGGAGTGATCGACAACCTACGTGGCAGCACCCTTCTGCGGTCGGCGAAGAAGGTGGCAACACCGAGGTACGCTGCTGTTGCAAAGCTGGTTTTTGTTTTTTTTGGCATCGGTCCGCGAGGTGGTCCTTCAGATTTACAAGTACCAGTACCGCACTAGTAGAGTACAGAGCAGGACATGTAGTCCGTCTACACGGCAGCAGCAGCAGCAGCAGCAGCAAGCAGCACTCCATTCGAGAATGCTTGCTCTAGTGCGTAGCATGGTGGCCACATGGTGCAGGTGGGTAGTTCTTTGGGGGTGCTATCGTTCCGTATCAGTGCCCCACACGCAAGTTGTGCTGGTTTACGAGGAGGACCAACAACAGCAGTGCTAAACAAGGCATAATCGTTTTTGCACGATTCCCTCTCACAGTCCCGTACTTGTGCAAAGCATAAATAAAAAAGCACGGTTCACACACTAAACCATAGTAATGACCCTCCCAGTTATCTGTTGCATAAATGGTCGGGGTTTCGGATCTTGGATGGCGTTTTCCATAATTTTACAGGTCAAAAAGTACTTTTTGAAAGTTTCAAAAAGTACTTTTCAATTTCGAAAAGTAATTTCTGAAATTCGAAAAGTACTTTTCGAAACACAAAAACCGATGAGCTGTTTTCGTCCTCTTGAGGGCGCTTTATCACTCCCACCCCCTACCATCTAGTCCTTGCTACAGCGGATACACCCCCACCACTCGTCTTCCTACAGCAGCTACACCCCCTCCCCTCCCTATATCGGCTACGCCACCCTCCCTCTAGCTCACCCTCCGACTCTCTCGGCGATCAAGGAAAAGTTTTACACGGAATCGAAACAACTCCACCGCCCCACCGGCCCACCCATAGCGATAAATCACTCACACCTACCGAGCTGATGCATCACCCCCACCACCCCCACCACCCCATCCATCCCTCATCCCTCATCCTTGCTCACAAAAACGCAAGTGAATCATGGTGTTTCCAGTGGTCCGAACCAGAAAGCCCCGCGCTTGGGGGTCCCGTCCCGAGACGAAGTCCGTGTGGGGGCAGCTTACGGAGAAGAAGCAGCCTGTCGCGGAGGCCAGCAAGCTGGAGAAGGTTGCAGCGCGGGCGGCACCGCCGACGTTCCATGACGTTGACGGGCGTACCCACGTGGAAGTTGACGTGAAGGGCTATGGCAGGTGCGGGCTTCTCTCTGTCTATGCTCTGAGTCAAGTCGCCAAAGGGACGCCCGTTGAAGAGGTTTCCTCTCGAGTGTTCCCCGACAACGGCGAAGGCGACATCTCCGATGAGCTCGAGCGTACACTCCAGAGTATCCGCGATGCGGTCGCTCATGCGCCGGACAGCGCCCTCGGTGGTTTGTGCGACGGCGAGGAGTCCCATGATCTCGAGGATGTGATGAAGAAGCCGTCTTACATGATCCGGACGAAGAACATGTTCAGAACGGTGGCGCTGATGGCGAATGGATACGTGGACGATTTGATGTTGCGGCTGGCGGCTGGCTCAGCACCTCGATATGGACGGGCTCAGGGTCGTGGGCGTGGTGGACGGGGAGCTGGTGACGGTCGACGCCTTGCCCGGGAAGTATCCTGACAAAGATGCCCCCCTCGTGCTGCACGACGGCCAGGCTCACTTCAAAGCTCTGATCCCCTGGACGTCGGTGAGTCCTGACTGTGTATCTTGGCGTGAAGCACGGGGGAGGATACGGGGAGTTCTTTCTTTTCTATGTTGAGACTTGATCCGCACATCGCACATCTGATTTTTGTGTATTCTTTTTTACGCATGTTTGTTGCCCCCGCCGAGCAGGAGGCCCCCGCTGACGCCCCCGCCAAGCAGGAGGCCGCCGCTGACGCCCCCACCATGGAGCAGGCGGAGACCTCCGGCGGCATCGATGCTGCGGCGGAGACGGGTTGCGACGATGGACTCGACACCACCGATCGTGGAAACGGGTGGCATGTCGTGGGCAAGAGTCGTCGCACGACGACCGGTGGCGAGGTGCGTACGCGTTGGGCCCCCATTTTTCTTCTGTTGTTGGAAGGTAGTGTGGCAGTCTTCATGGTATGGCGCGCCTGACACGACCTCGTACTAATTTGAGAAGCAACCCCGTTGTTTGTTTTGCTTTTCTCCGTGTAGGGTACGAACCGGCCCCAGTACACGAGCGAGAACCAGTTCGACGTGCTATGTGGCGAAGATGAAGAGGATGACGACGAGGGAATGTTCACGGTAGTGTGGAAGCCGCGTAGCTCTGCCCAGCTTCTCCGGTACCGGTCTCACCGGGAGGGGGCGCGCCCGCCCCGCCGGGGTCGCCGGGTGGCTGGTAGGCGCAAGGCTCAACCCAGTACCCGGGCAGGGCAAGGAGGTAGCAAGTACCTCAAACCTTGCCCCGCGAGAGACACACGGGTCGAACGCAAGCGTGGGAGAGGACGTGGACAGGAGGCGCGCGGGGCGACCTGGTCTGGGGTGGTGAGGGGTGGAGCCCGCCCAGGGGACGAGGAGGTGTGTATGCTTTGAACAATATTTCTGCTTTCGCTATTATAGGATAGATTGCGCTTGATAAAACGTGCGTGTTTTCGTTACCTAACCTGTCACGTACCACTCTCATCTGTTCATGCCGTCCAGGCACCTGCGTCTGCCGGTGCTATTCCGCCCGCTTCCGCGTCGAGTTTCCCGTCTTCATCCGAGGCCCCGGGGGATGCTGCACCAGTTGACGGGCGGTGCAAAGCCGACACGTGCGGCGATGTAGCGACTTGGTGCTATCGTGGTGGCGAAGTGCAGTTCTGTCAAAAACACACCTTCAAAACCGATGGCTGGGCGCCCAAAATGGAGGGACGGAGGAAAAGGACGCCGTCAGCTAAAGTGTCCGAAGGCGCCAACACAGGGGCACTGGATGATGACGAGGAGCCAAAGGCCAAGAAACGGAGGGTAAGTGATTGCGCACAAGAGGTTTATTCTCGGAGCTAAACAACATAGCTCGCGCTTTTTACAGTTGTGCGTGTGTGTGTGTGCTTTCTTCCCCTAACCGATCCCTGTTTACTCCTCTCGTTTGAACCGTTCAGGCTGCCCCTGCGTCTGACGGTGCTGTCCCGACCGGTCCCACGGCGAGTACATCGTCTCCCGTCGGTTCTCGGGGCGGAGGGGAGGGTAACGGCAGACGAAAGAATAATGGCAGGGACACGTGCCAGCACACGGGATGTACCGCTGCCACATCACGCGGCGTGACTGGGACCACCAGGCCTGGTCGGGCGACTGCCGCGCCCATGGACACTGATGGGGACGGCGGTGACGGCGGTGACGGCAGCGATGGTGATGGGGGCAGCGACGGATTGGACGGATCTATGGAGGCCATGGCCATCGGCGAGGGCGCCGACAGCGATGGTGACGGCATCAACGAAGGCAGCGGTGATGACGAACCTGATACAACACCCATGGAGATCGGCGGCGGTGGCGGTGGTGGTGCTGGCACGGGCGGCGGTGGTGCTGGTGGTGGAGGCCGAACCTCTGGGGAGAAAACGGCGAGGGTAAACAAGCCCGTGGGTCAAAGGGGCCTCAGATCCACCACCCTTGCCCAAGAGTTGGAGGAGCCAATTTTGCCTTGCATGGAGCCATTCTTGGAAAACAATCGGCGAGCTTCGGACGAGCTAGTTGAAGAGCGCAGGGATACGGCGCCGCGTACGAAAAGCAAGCCTGCTGGGGCTGGTACGATCGCGGATGCCGCCAGGTTTCTCGCTATGCTATCTCACGACAAAAAAGATGGCATCGAAATCAAGGAGGGGGTCTACTTCCCGCGCTCGAGCCTTGGTGCAATCAAATCCCAATACGAGTTGGACTACGCCTTCAATCCTTCACACATCGGAGTGGAGGTGGGGAAGACAACGGTTATGTGGAAAGGCAAGGTGCAGAAGGTTGAAGCTTTCGACTACGGCTTCTACACGCTGGGCGACAAGGAATTCAAGCTGACGCAATGGGATGTCCTGGAAAACCGACGTGGAAGCGGGGTGACATTGGAACAAGACCTCCGGCGGTACATTGGGCAGCTGGTGTTAACGTATGTTGTCATGCAGAGCACCGGAGTCCCGGAGATCGAGAACGACGGCAACGTGCATGACGGGATGATGCTAGACGTCGATGGTGCGTTAACCAGGGCGGAAAAAAACCTGGATGGTATCGATCGCCACAGCCAGCTGGGGAAAGAGAAGCTGCTCGAGATCAAAAAGAATACGGACAAGGTGCGCGACTTCGCCCTGAAAATCTTCACCAGCTCGTCGGTACGAGACATACTTCCGCTACACAGACCAGACGCTGAGGAGAGAGAGGTGAGCATGTTGTTAAATGTCTTTTGCAAAGCCCTTGGCAGAGGGCAGCGGCGTTTTTTCTGATTCGTTGGTTTCTATGTAAATTAGCCTGTGACCACGGAAACAGACCACGTCAAGTGTTGGATGAGTACGGAGAGACTTGAGACAGAAGGAGGTACTAGACAGGGGGGATGGTTTTTTATGTGATGATAATATAAACAACAACAACAACAACAACAACAACAACAACAACAACAACAACGAATCAGTCCGTACGAATAAACACGAACAGGATAAAGACACCCAAGACTTCCTGCACTGCCCGGGATCGCTGAAGGAGCTCAACTTCATGGCTGATCTCCGGTACACCGTCCCCAACAAGAAGGCATTTGGACACCTGTTCGACGGCAAGGTCGTGAGAGGCGGAAAAAACTGGGTACCCGCCGCGAAGTTGATACGCGGAACATGGGAAGCAAAACTGAAGATGATAATCAGGCTATTGATGTGCGCGTACCGCCTGGGACGACCCGTCAACTTCGTCGAGGCGTACCTCGGTGTGTCACCGGAAGAGCTGAAGGTGCTGAAGGAGTGCAACACACACTGGGATGAAAACCTGAGGAGTGGTTTCGACGGCTTACCATTTGACACCGTGGGCGAACATGCTGCCACGGGCAAGCAGCTGGGCGGGAAAAACAAGTGGGCGTACCAACTGGCCGTGCAGCGCTCAACGATGTTCTACAACCGTGTGACGCCTGTCGTTGCTTTCTCTACCGGTTGCCGCGACCCGTTGAAGTACGGTGCGGTTCAAGATCACTCCAAAGACAGCAATTTCTTCCAGGACATGCGCGGCGTGTACACCGGCCTTTTGGAGAGGGCGATGGGGCTGGATTCTCCTTCGTTGAAGCCTGTGCTAGAGGCGCTTGGAAGCAAAGACGCCGACGAACTCCTGAAAAAGTCTCGTGGGTGTAGAAAGGAGAGGAGCGCGGAGGACAACGGCGCCATCGGAGAGGGGACGAAAGAACGCCGGAACAAGCTCATCTTGTTCCACGATCCCGTGGACAGGCGATTCACGCTGACGATGGCATTCCAAATGTCCTTGGGCGAAAAACTGCGGCCACTCTTGACAGCGGTGACAGAAATCTGCCCGGGCTTTTACAAGCTGGCCACTACCTGTCTGGTGAAAGCGAAGAAGGTGTCGACCTCCTACACGAAGAAGATTCTCCCCAACGGCGACCGAGCCCTCTATGATGTGATTGGAGAGGATCATCTGCTCGGCAACTCCCCAGAGGCGAAGAGTTGGGTCGCGAAGGTGATGGAAGGACTGGATGAAAGAAGATTCGAGTGCAGGGATATCTGCAGACTCAGTGTCTACACGCAACTAGGCCTCATGTTCAACGCGGCGGCTCTCCGAGACGGGGACTTTTTCCACCTGTCCGCCAACACGATGTACTACAACAACAAACGGGGGACACTGTTGATGCGTCCACCGGCAAAGGGCAAGCAGACCGAATCCGCCAATGGCGAACTAAAGAACGTACTGAAGGAGCACGAGATCTGGGGACCAGACGTCATTCGGTGGTGCATGGTGATGAACCTGGTCGGCCGAGAGTTTCTTCGGAAAAAAATTGGGAGTGTGGATCCCGAGTTCGGTCCACTGGCACCAGACGGACAGAGGCTATCGGACGACGTGTTCAAGAAAGTTGTGGTGGCGGTTGGGCGGACGTACTTCGGCGTGGACAACGCGGACGTTTACTCGATGCGGACCGTGCAAGATACGATTGCAACGGAGGATTTGGTCGAGGTTGGGCTTGATCACACGGCGCATTGTGCACAAGACCTGTTCAGGAGGCAACGAACTACTGAAAAGGTGTGTCAACTTATTGTGAATGTCATTTGCTCTATCGATTGCATCACTCATTGTTGAACACATGCAAAAATTGTTGATAAACATTAGCTACGCAAAGCCGTGGACGAGCCACACCCAACGTCGATACCAACTTTTATTATCTAGTCTATTCGTATACTAATAATCAATTTATTTGTACACCACTCGCGCCTCCACATCAACTCCAGAACGGCACGAATACCTACAGCGTGATTAGAAGCGAGAAGACGACCGCGACAAAGAAGCTGAAGACACCGATGCATTTGAACGGTGGAGTCCGAAGAATGCAGGTGGAAAAACGAAAGCGGGAAGGACTTCCAGAGACTCCATCGGGCGGACTATGGGACAAAGAAGAGTTCGTGGAATTGTACCGCGAAATGGCCTCGATGAAGCCGCCGAGAATTCCCGAGAAAGTCAACACCGATTTCGGCTTCAAGTATGAGTCCGTGGTCGAGTCCGAGTCCGAGCCCAGGTCCGAGTCCGAGCCCGAGCCCGAGTCCGAGTCGGGGTCGGGGTCGGGGTCGACGTCGACCCTGAAACCAGAACCTGGTACCGGAACCGATACGGTCGCACTACCGAAAACTTCGTGTGGGAGGGCCATGCGACCTATCGACGTGGAACTGGTTGACGCGGAGAAGAAGCGAGCGATTGCCAAGGCAGAGTTCGAACGGATGGAGTATCAGCTGAAGTGTGTCGAGATGGCACAGAAACTCGAGGACTTGAAGAGAGGTGGAGATCCCGACGCCCTCGTCGCCTCTGGGCCCGTCTTCGCAGCTCAGAGCGCTACTGCTGCTGCAGCTACGGTTGCTCCGGGGGCTAGGCCCGCTGCTGCCATCGGTGGTCGCGATGACGTTGGTGCGGGTGGTGCTGCCGGCGACCAAAATGGTGTGGCTGTGGGTGCGCCAACTTCAGGAAAGGGGGTGGCTAAAGCTACAAAGAGGAAAAACAAAACCAAGGTGAGGGAGTTTGTAAACGTATTAATTTATCAACAACCAAGAGAAACAGCAATATTTGACTAAACTGAACTACGCAAATCTGAACCGCGAACCCCAACGCCTATTGTCTCGTTTTGCAGCCGAAGCTAGCGTCGCCAGTGGAGTGCGATGGTGTGAGAGAGGTGGTGGCTGCACTCCGGACAGCCTTCGCGAAGGCCAAGCTCAGGAACAACGACGCCAAGGGTTCGGGCAAGGAAGAGGACGATGTCCACAAGTTCATGACTAAGAAGCGTATCTTCAAGTCAATGCTCCCACTGGCATACCAACTACTCGCACTAGACAAAGAGTACAAAGCGGGGGACTGGTTTACGAAGCACAAGGATTTCGGGGTGGGTGGCTACCCCAAGGGCTTTACGGAATTGGTCGAGAAAGTTGAGAATCAGATCGATGGATTCAGGTGGTCGTCTTGGAGACAGGACGGCGAGTAGTCTTCGGCCATGGGTCTGTCATGCATCTGCCGTCTGCCTTGGGTTCTCTCGTAAGTGCAAGAAAAAATCTTGCTGGAGAGTTGGTTGAGAATTTGCCAACAGGGGTGTTGCGGTTGGTCAGCACACGGGCCCGTTCCGGTACAGTAATCAAGCAATTGTATTGATAAAAAAACAGGTCTTCGGGGCTCGTCTCCGGACGTTAAACGTGCCTTTGCGTCCAGAGTCCGTGTGTAACACACACACGTTCATTGTTCTGGCGATAAATTTTCAGCAAGCGCCTCATGAAAAATCTGTACAGAAAAGAGTGGTTGTTTGTTTGTTTAACGTTCAGTCATTTTCACGCAACCATCAACATGGCTACTCTCAGTGACGCTCTCTCGCACGATGGCGCACAGGGGTGTCCAATACCTTCGCATGAATGGAAAGGTACAAAAAAACGCTCGCCCGCCACACTAATAAGTAAGGCAAAATCGCCACAACAAGCCAAATGGCTTCTCTCGCAACCCACGCCCGTGGAGCCGCTCCCACAAACCTATTCCCTCGCGCGAGAGGCCATGAACCAAGAACACGGGCCGCGGTAGCGCCGATGGTGCACACACAAAACGTGTCCAACAAAGTCGCCCTTGCAAAGCGCCTCGGGGGTGAAACCGAGTGGGGATCCCCCGCAGGCTTCATCGATGTTAAATGGTGAAGCTTCTTAAAAAGGACGGCGCGGCCGAGTTGTTATAAATGAATATATTTACGCCAAACAATTAAGTTGAGAATGTTGCACACAGGTCATACAACATAGGCCTCCGCTTCCAGCGATGGTCTACTGTCGACGGGTGAATTGTCGCAAGAAGGCCTCGTACGGCAAAGCATACCGCAAACCACTGTTTTGCAAATCGCATAGTGCACCCGGAGATCGGTATGTCACACGCAAGAGATGTGAATTTCACGAATGTAAAACTGTGGCGACTTTTGGACTCGAATTGAGACGACCACTGTTGTGTGGCAAACACAAGAGAGATGGCTTCGTTGACGTCGTCAGCAAAAGATGCGTATCACAGGGGTGTTTTAAACAACCAACTTTGGGCTTCGTCATGGGGAAGCCTCTCTCGTGCGGCGCACACAAGCTCGATGGCTTCACGGACGTCACAGGAAAAAAATGCGAATCACGGGGGTGTTCGACCCACCCAACTTTCGGCCTGGTCATGGGAAAGCCTCTCTCGTGCGGCGCACACAAGCTCGATGGCTTCACGGACGTCACAGGAAAAAAATGCGAATCACGGGGGTGTTCGACCCACCCAACTTTCGGCCTGGTCATGGGAAAGCCTCTCTCGTGCGGCGCACACAAGCTCGATGGTTACGAAGATGTGAGAAGTAAAAGATGCGAGTTCAAGGGGTGTTTTAAACAACCAAACTTCGGCCTGGTCATGGGAAAGCCTCTCTCGTGCGGCGCACACAAGCTCGATGGTTACGAAGATGTGAGAAGTAAAAGATGCGAGTTCAAGGGGTGTTTTAAACAACCAAACTTCGGCCTGGTCATGGGAAAGCCTCTCTCGTGCGGCGCACACAAGCTCGATGGTTACGAAGATGTGAGAAGTAAAAGATGCGAGTTCAAGGGGTGTTTTAAACAACCAAACTTCGGCCTGGTCATGGGAAAGCCTCTCTCGTGCGGCGCACACAAGCTCGATGGTTACGAAGATGTGAGAAGTAAAAGATGCGAGTTCAAGGGGTGTTTTAAACAACCAAACTTCGGCCTGGTCATGGGAAAGCCTCTCTCGTGCGGCGCACACAAGCTCGATGGTTTCGTTAACGTCACAAGCAAAAGATGCAACTCGTCGGCATGCACCTTATTTCCGATGATCGAGAGGGGCTGTGGAACATACAGGATCGACGACGACTTCCTATGTGGAAGCTGTCTCCGAAGCGAGCACCCCGATCTGGCAAAAAAGTTCAAAGTGAGGACCGAGCACTTTGTCCTGGCGGAGCTGCAGAGACGGATGCCCGAGTTGGAAGGCAACTTTCTCTCGTGGGACTGCCCTCTTCCGTATGCGATATCGACGGAGAGAGCGGACATGTTGTGGCAGATTGGGTCGGTTTTGCTGCATGTGGAAGTGGACGAGACGGCGACGCACGAAGACGACCGCAACCGGCTTATGCGCCTCTTGGCGGGAACGGATGCCGTTCATCATATCGTAGTGAGGATCCACACGCATTCGTACGATAATTTTCAGCCATGTGTGACCAGGAGCCAGATCAACGGCGAGTGGGTAGTGTCTTGTCGCAAGAAAGAGTTCGATCGCAGGATGAATATCGTTGTTCCAGAGATTAAGAGGTTGTTGGCGAAAGAGGAGTCTATCGTAAAAGTTATGTTTCTGAGTTGATTTGAGTGATTGTGTTTGCGTTTTTGTCAAGGGCGACGTGTAAACAATAAATCCACATTTCAAACATGGCTTCTTCTTCTTGCACTTCGTGCGATCAACCCGGAAATTTCGCCACGGCGCGGCGTTTTCGGGGCGCAGTCGGAGATGCGGCATCCAACTGAAACCGCACCAAGCGCTCGTGCTCGAGGTAAACGACAAAGCTAGGTGACACAGGCGGCCATGGAATGCTTAAATAGCACATGGAGCGTGTTTTCGAAGCATGTGTCAGTGGTCGGGGAAGTTCTGTTGCCGGCAAGGTCAAGCTCTGTTTCTAAGCAACCGAGGTGACATAGTACATCGGCCTTGAAGCCAGCCGCACGTGCAGCCAGCTCACCCCTGTTCCATGCGTGCTCACATACACCGTTTCACCCCTCTTAGTTTGCGCTGCAGCTCCACGGCTACCTTCTTCCACAAAGCGCGCTTCTCGGCGTCGGAACTATGTTTATAGGCTTTCAAGTGTTAAGTTTTGAGTAAACTTTGTGTTTCGGGATCACTCTGGAAATACAGACGCGACGGAGCTGGCCGTGCATCAAGCGCCTTACAAAAAAAACGGATGGTTCTCCACACACTGCAGGCTTTCCGCCGGAAAACCCCAACGACCAAAAATACCAAAAAAGAAAGTTTATCCGTAAGATTAGAAGGCTTGTGTCGAAAGAAACCCCACAGACAAAAGACATCATGCCTGCCAAGAAAAAACACTCTGCAACACACAAGGCCCTAATGAAATCAAGAAAGGCGCGGAGCTCGCCCGAGCCCGACATTTGGAACGGGTGTATCGCTTCGCAGCTGCGCGAGGACCTACGGGGAAAAGTGTCGTATATGCAAATCAACGGAGAGGGGCCGGTCGAACCCGTAGCTGATATTGAAACGATAGCGAAAATGGTCAAGCTCCTCAAGAAGGAGGGTGCTGCGGAGCTGTTTCAGAAAATTTGAACTTGATTAAGCCTGGCTTCATCTGCTGCCGCTGTCTGTGGTTCACGTAAATACAATCTGTTTTTTTTTCAAATCAGGGCGTCGCCGCCGGGGCACACACTAAGCCAATCGCACGTTGAATGAGGTCTGAATCACGGGCATAGTAAGTGTTTTCACTGAAGGGCTTTCCCCTAAAAGTGGTGCTGCGCTTAGGTATCTTACGACCAGCTTCCTGTCCGTAGCGCTCGGAGTACAGCCGCTTAACAACCTTGCCGACCTGGCCAGCCTTTTCGCCAACACCAATGCCCATTTTCCCAGCTTCGACGCAAATTGACGTCTCTGGGCCCCGAACACTCGGGCTACACTTCGGGGTGGCAATGAGCAGACCCGTCTCCGGGTCGATGGTGTCGTCTACCGGCATAGCCACACACACAGAAACCGGTGAAGTATCGGCAGCAGGCGCGGCGGTGATCATGTTGTCGACCCTCGTCACCCTCCGCTGGACGTCCTTTATCCTGTCTGCAAACTCAATCTCGGCGCGTTCGTCGAACTGTCCAACCGACTCCAGCTTCATCTTGCATGTCTCGAACACGTCGATATCTCCCAGGACCAAGGCCTTCTTGGCCAAGACTATGCTCGTTGTAGCCTCAATCGAAATGTAGGCTCTCTTTTCCTCATCCGTCGCATAGTCGAACCAGGCTGGCATGGCGGCCCTCTGCTTCTTGGCGGGACCCTGGTCAGTCATAAAGGATTGGTAAGCCCTGCCTTCCTCGGTGGCCTGGAGGTGGGCAAAGCGCTGCTCAATTTCTCCGCAAAGACTGATATCTCCGCCCAAAACCCGGCAGATAGTTTCGGCTGACTGGCGCCTGAATTGTTTGGCCGCGCCCGATGGCAGCAGCCAAATGATCTCGACGATGGTTTTGGCGTCGCTTACGGGGGTAACATTGCCACGACCGTTGATCCTGATGTAGTCAACGCGGTCGGCGATGGGCGTCGGATGCGGTGGGTTTGCATCTGGCACAGGGTTCTTTCCGCCATCGTCCCGCTCCTTTTGAAGGACGCGTGTGAACATCTGTGCAGCATATTCGGGAGAGGCCGTTGGGGATATCAGGCGTACGGTGTCGATGACGGACGCTTTCCCTAATCCATCGTCGATGCGCACAGAGCCGTATATGTTGATAGACCGAAGAGCGTTCTGTAGGACGGCCGTCTTTATCCCGACTTGCTGCGATGGCTTTGGCTGCGGTGGTGGCTGGAGTTGGAGTTGTTCTGTTTGGCTAGAGGACCGAACCCTCTCGACACGCTCGCGAAGCGCCTTTTTGAACGCATTCCCCGAGTTTTCGCGCCATTTGCGCCACAGGGGCCCGGTCATTTTATCGAGAATTTCAAAGCACAGCTCGAGCGTCGCGGCACACGCAAGCCGCCCATTCATCAGACGCGTGGACATTTTCGGGCCGTTGTAATCTCCGAGGACGCGGTGCACTGTTTTGAGAATGCCGCTTTCATTCAGGTTCGGCATGATGTTCTTGATCATAGATTTGACTGCAACATCTCCGCTGCTTGCGTCGATCACGATGTTGCTTATGTTGTTGTTCATGATCTTTGCTTGGTTACTTGACAGAGGGTATTTTAATTTCGGCCGTTTGAACGCGGCCTGTGTTTCTTAACCCGACTCCTGTCTAAAAGAAGAGGGGTGCTGCCGATGGTTCACTTGAACACAGTCCGTGGTTTTTGGCACGAAAGCGGCCGCTTCGCCTACTGGAAGCGGTGGCGGCCGCGGCGCAAGGGCGTTTGTTTGGTGTGCTACATTCGCCCCCATTTTTGACGGCTGTTGCGTGCGATACGAATCGCGCTGAACCCTAAGGCTACTGCATACTGCTGTACAAGCGTACATCCGTTGGTGAAAAGTTGATGCACTTAGCTTGTTCAAAATCTGCTCACGAATCTGCTTTTTTTCGAAACATGGGCATGAAGTGACCGCCTCTAAGTTTATAGTACACGTAAATTGTTGAATCCTCGGGTCCATCGAAGGGGGGTACGTCATAGACATTTTCACTCGAATATTCTTTAACGACGTTTACTTTCACACCAGTCATTGCTCCGTAAGCATCGGCCATCACCTCGTCGCACCACGTACCTTGTTGCTCCATCAATGTCAAGTATTCTTTTACGCTTTTGGGAACAACATAACCCTCTTTGCCCTTCACGTTCAGTGCACTGCGGTATATGCCGTTGGCTTCGTCTTTAAAAATTTCAGAGACGCGAATGTCGAGGACTTCATGTACTGTCGAAAACTGTAATTTGTGTGTGGGATTGTCTCTCATGAATGCAATGATTCGTTTCCTTGTCTTAATGTGACAGTCTGCCACACCTGGTTCTCGTATATGACACAGAGAGTGAAGGAGGCAGTCTCCGTCACCTTCCGCGCGTCCGACATCCCAGTGTTCAAGCCACCCTCCATTGTCATACCAGTCGTCTCTTGCTTTTGCTTCCGCTGCTTTGGCTGCTGCTGCTTCTGCGTCTGCTGCGGCTGTCGCTGCTGCTTGTTGTGCGCGCCGTGCCTCGTCGCGTCGGTCTGCTTCTTCTTTAGCTGCTTTTTTAGGAGGATTCTTAACGATTTTTCGGTTTGTTGGAATATGCCGACTGGCTTTCGGAGAAATCCGAACGGACCGCCTGACGTTTCT